AAAGCCGCGATGGCCGCGTCGGCTGTGGTTATCTGGGCGTCTCTGACGGCCAGCGGCGAGTTCAGGCCCGTGGTGTCTGTGTAGGGCAGCAGTGCTGTGGCGACGCGTTGATCAACGTCGGCGGGCGTGGTCTTCAGGTTCACCGCCGCGGTCGGGACCTAGGTTAGGATCAAGGACCTAGGCTGGGTACCCAATGCCCTGAAGCCCAAACCTTACCTAGGCCATGGTACGAAGACCCCAACTCGTTTTGGCTTACCTTACTAAATGGCCATCATTTTCTATAGTAGAACAGACGTCTGCCGTCCACCACTTAGGGGCTGGCCCTGTCAACGTCTGCTGCAGCTGCAATCAACCTCAGAAGCCATTTGAGTATGTGCTTAGGGTTGAAGCGCAGAGTTCTCAAGTTTCATAGTAACTGTGGCGTATCAGGGCTTGAAGTGGACCATGGTTAGACCTGCAGATGGGAGAAGATGCAGGTGTCCGAGGTAAGACTGCTGAAGCGCTTCTAGCAGATGGTCAGATCCCGTCGCTTCACGACAAAGCTTCAAGCTTCTGCCTTTCAAGAGTGCACCTGTGCCTCTCTTCGACGCTTCTACAGCAAGTAATGGTCTACTCATAAACACATACGACAGGGCTAGTGTTGGGCTGTTTGGATAGATGCAGTGCTGCCCTGAAGAAACCAGGTCAAGATGCACCATCTCTCCCCGGAAGATCGACGTTGATGAAAAGGGCGGATAATTCCAAAGAACCGGCGTGAATTTTGGGGATTTCAGAGGAATGCTCTGTACGCAAGGGTAAACAACAGAGCGTTCAGCGTGAAATCAAGAAAGCTTGGCCCAGTAGCTGTACAAGTATACAATGTTTTGCTATACTAGATGTGTAGAAACCCGAAAAAGCAAAGCGTAGCTGCCCGGCTATCAAGTAGATGGAACTTGGCCGAAACTACTGCTCTCAAAATGGAAAACTTATACAGGGACCCATATTTATTAATGCTGGAGTTAACCCTGCACCCTAAATCCTAACCCCGAAGCCTGAATCCCCAAACCCTAAACCCTAAACCGTGAATCCTAAATCCCCAAAACCCTAAACCCCTAAAACCTTAAGCCCTAAATCATCCTAAATCCCTAAACCTAAACCCTAAAAGCCGAAATCCCCAAAGCCCCAAGGATGGAAGATCGAGCTCGGCCCAGAAGCAAGCGTGCCACGGCGAGCCGGTTCTTCCTGGCTGAGACCCTAGGGGTATGTGGCTATGGGGTTAGGGATTAGGGGTTTAGGGTTTAGGAGGTATGTGGGGATATATGGGGTTGAGGGTTTAAGGGTTTAGGGGTATGTGGGGATACATGGGCGTAGGGTTTATACGGTTTCGGGATATATGGAGACATACACGGCTGCATACGGCTATGCAGAAATATGTACATTTATGCATCTATACATATCGTTACAGGGGAATATATGAGGCCACGTAGGGCTATATGGGGATATATGAGCTTACATGAACACATTTGGGGCAACATATGGCTACATAGGAATATGTCGGGTTACATCGGCAAATTTGCGGAATTTTCTGGAAGCACGAATATCACCCAGAATGGTAACTACAGACAGATATTGGTTATAACCTGGTCGTAACTTGAGCCTTTTCTTACCTGGGCCCCAAACATCCCCAAACCCTAAACTCTAGCTGGAACAGAAATCCCCAGCCCCTTGCGAAGTGCTGAGGCAAAGCCTACTCGTTCTCCCCGTTCAAAAAAAAAGAAAGTTTATACGGCCCCCTTCTTTTGAAGGACAGGAATCTTTGCGGGGCCCTTTTCGGGCTTCCATGGGTGCAGGGGCGCAGTACAAACAGGGGAATTCTCAAGTGGGGCGCCCTGGGACCCTTGGGATACAGGAATGGCAAAGGGACTAGAGGGGGGGTCCTTGCTAAGGGTTGCAAAGGAAGCCTTTCAAGGGACCCACCAAAAACCAAGGCATAAGCATGCCAGCAGTACATAAGTTGCCTCTGAGCTGCCAGCGTAAGAGTACTATATCCAAGTGGGTTATAGCTACCACATCAAAATTTCATCTTAGGAAGCTGAAGTGCCTGGTCTCTGCCAGATGTACGCCCTAAACCGCAAGCACCCTAAACCCTAAAACCTATAAATCCTAAATCCTAAACCCTATATATCCTAGATCCTAAACCCAAGTAGTGGCCTGGAGGCCCACTGCAGAGGGGTCAAGCCAGCAGCTCGGACCACATTCATCTCGGCGCCAGCCTCCCGGGCTTCAGGTCTGGGGGGTTTGGGGTTTTGGGGGGGTTTATAGGGCTTATAGGGTGTACAGGATTTATAGGATTTATAGGGTTTGGGGTTTAGGGTTGCCAGGTTTGGGGGTTTTGGGGGTTTAGAGTTTGGTGTTTAGGGGCTTGGGGGTTTGGAGTTTTGGTGTTTAGGGGCTTGGGATTTGGGTTTTTAGGGTGAAGATCAGGAGGTTTAGGCTGAGAGTGTGTTTGGGCGCGGTTTAGGGTCTATCAAGGAAGGGTTCCGTGCAGAGACCTGTAGATACGGATTGGGAGGATGTCAGTCTTGTCCCTGAGCGACCGCCCAAATGGATCATATAATCCTGGTAAAAACTTAGGGGAAAACATGACGTAGAATATCCTGGCACCGCTTACCGAAAGAGATTGCTCGAAGTGCCTCTGAGAGTGGCAAAAGTACGCATTATTTTAGAACTGTTCGGCGGATGAGATTTGAATCGGGATCGCGAGATGAAGGCTGATGGGAAAGAGCATGGGATATGTTGTTTCTTGTGGCTTACCTGACGGCTGAAGAGACCCTAAACCCTAAACCCTAAAGACTATGTATTTAGGTTAGGAATGGAATGGGTTGAAGCCCCGGGTCTGTTTGTTACCCTAACCTGCTTAAACAGGCTGCTGAGCCTCTAAGTAGGCTAAAGCTTTAAAGATGAGATGGTGTCTGAATTCGGACATTGCGATTTTGAGTTCAGGGCGACTTGCACTGCAGCTTCTGTAGAACCATGCTTTAAGCATTTGTCGTGAAGGTTAGCGTCATAAAGCGTAGGTTAATTCATTGCCTTTGTTGCTGGACAGTTCTGGGGCAACGGCTACCTGAACAAACGAACCCTTAATCTGTAAAAGTGCAGACGCAACATGTTGAGACTTTCAGAAAAGCTGCCATGAGGGAGCCCATACACCATCATCAAGGGGCATTCCGCATGTTATACTGGGGATCTGGCACCATCAAAAAAATGTGTCTGCCTTTGAAACACGGCAGAATTATTATAGGCTCTCTACGAATCTACAAATACACATGCAGCACCAACAAGACCATGTGCAAAGGGTCTTTATTCTTTGCTCCGCGTGGGAATATGAGGGAAGAGTCGAGTCATAGGTTCGGCATGCTGCTGGGTATGACCTGCTCAAAACGTAACCAGCAAGGCGCATGCCAACGAGATGATCATCAGGCCACCACGGTGGGCATTGGACCTTGGAACAGTAACACCTGCTACGTCGGCAGTGCTGTAGAGGCCCTCCACGATCTCATCGCCCACGCTGCCCAGCGGCTCAAGCTGTGCACGAGCCTTCGCCTGCACACCCTCAAAGATGTCGGACACATTGCTGACCAAATCTTGCGGCAGCTTCTTAGCAGCCGCATCCATGCCAGCATCCACGAAGTTGTTCATGGCATCGAAGGTTTTGTTTGCCAAGCTGTGCAGCTGTCCTGCCGCCTTGGATAGGCTGCGCAGAGGCTTTTTCAAGGCATCTGCAAGCATCTGCTCAGGATCCAACTCCAGGAGGGAGGCGTTGCTAGCATTGCTGGCATTGCTGGCGTTGCTGGCCTTTTGCGCCTCCTGATCATCTGCATAGGCCTTCAAGGTGTTTAGCACGTCGTTGACAGACGTCGTCCAAGACTCGACAATCTTGAAGACAGGCGACATGGCTGTGTCGAGTTTCTGCGCTGCCGGCCCCTGGCCCATGGTATCCAACGCATCATCCGCCACACCGATGGCCTTGTGGAGTCCGCCAAGGAGCTTGTCGAACTGGGGCATCACCGCGTTCAGGAGGCCCTCCGCTGCTTCCGCAAAGGCGAGAGCCTTGTTTTCTGCCATGCGGATCTTGGAACGAACCTCCTGGATGAGGCTTGCAGCAGTAGAGTTGGCCTCCAAAATCTCACTACCCAACGTCTCCAACGTCTCGTTCACCTTGTGCGCGCCGGCCTCCAGGATGTCCAGGGCAATGCTCTTAGCATCATCCACTGCGTCCTTGCCGGCGTTGATTGTCTTGTTGATTGTGTTCTCGACATTCTTCACGATGTCACCGATGTCCCCCAGTGGGGGAAGGCTCGGAAAGCCCTGCTTCTGTTTCCTGGGTCATTGTTTCCCTACTTGGAAGGTCAGGGGCTCTTGCCAAGCTGCTTAGGTCACCCGGAGGGTACAGTGTTGTTGTGCAGCTCTTGCAATTTTAAAGTGTTGCGGCAAGACTTGCTAAGTCCCCCTGACCTTCAGTGAGCTGCTAAAAGGATCCCTAGGTATAAGTGAAAGAACCAAGCAGAAGCAAGCTTCAGCTCTGTGTCGCCGTCACTGGGAATGTGCTTCTGATCCTTCACCTCTGTCACTGAAGCGGCCTCCTGTATTGTCCAAGCAAGTAATGAGAGCAATAAGTAAATGAGGTTCCCAGTAAGCTGTGCAAGGCGAGCGATTCGTAGTGTTCCTGTAAGTGCTTGGGGCATACTAGCAGGTTTGGAGGAAATACCCTTCCCCGAAACTAACAATGGCCCTTTGTAAGTGGGGGCCATCTAGGTCCGCCTCCTACCCCACAGAGATGAGGCAACCTGTGCTCAAGATGGAAACAGATCATGGGGACAACCGTAAGCCAAGAACCCTGAAAGCTTGACCTGAAACACGAAAACCCAGCTTCCATTGCATTTTCCCACATCCCAAAAAAGCCCTTAAGCCCTCAACTCCTAAGCCCTAAGCATTGACTCTGAATCCCAAACCCTCAACCCTAACACCAAAACCCGAAATCCTAAAACCTAAAGCCTAAACCCTAAATCCTAAACCCAAATCCTCAGCCCAAAAACCCTACATCCTAAACCCTAAACCCTTCCTCCGCCTGGGGGACCATGGGGACTTGACCGTCTAAGTGGTCCTCAACGAGCTGCTTCGAGCCTGGGATCCGCAACGTATGGGGAGTACTTAGGCTTTAGGATTAGGGTTTAGGACTTTGGGTGTATATGGGGAGTTTTTAGGGTTTAGGGGTTAAGAATTAGGGTTGAGTTGTCCTTTTTAATCCTTTTTATGCCACCTTTCTCCACGGTCAGCTGTCTGCCGTGGTGATTCGCGGGCACGCAAAGAAGTCCGTTACGTCAGGGTTTAGGGTTCATGGGTTAACGTTTAGGGTTTGGGGGGGCCTAGGGACCCAGGGACCTGCGGTGCATCCTGGATAAGGATTGTAGGGGGCAATCTGAGAAACGCCCACATCGTGTGCATATGGACAAGCCCACTGTTACCTACTCATGGTAAGTCTATGCAATGAAAGACTGAAATCTAGGGATGGTTCTTGATGATTCTTGATTAAGTGGGCTTTTCAAACACGAATTCAATTTTCCCTTCCCCTCTTCCCCTGTAACCACTAGCACTAGCACGTTAAGTAACCCCCCTAAACCTCGAGGGACCCAACACCCAATTTGAGACTCTTAGGCCCTACGCTGCCAGGACCCGAAGTCAACGAAAGGCGCACTGAAAGGAAGACCTAGCAGCCCTTCTTGAACATGGCGCTCACCGTGACGGCGGAGCTCACCAAGAGAATGGAAATCATCACGCGGATCACAGCCATGGTTTTTGTTGGCTGCAAAGTGTCAAAGAAACCGGGGGGGATTCGGTCTCGAGGAGAGAGCAGATGGCTGCAGCAGTTTGCAAATGGGATTAGGCTTCAACAGATCCGGGTTTGCACAACAGCTATTTGATCCTGTACTTCGAGATCAGCCAGTCTGTAGATAGAGGTCTTTCTCTAGGCAACAAATTGGACGGATTTCGCAGCCTTTGGTGATGTATTGCACCGTAATTAGGTGCCCCTCGAAAGTCCCAAGAGTATGTCTAGGAGCAGACTTCATTCTTAATCCCCTCCCCCTGACAGTAACCTCCCCATTTCCCAAAGAGAATACCCTCAATGTAGTACCGCTATATACATACATATATATGTGTCTGTATATGCATATGTATATACATATATGTACATATCAGGTTGTTATCCTACGGAGGGGGTATTAGTAGTGTTTGTAGGGGCAGGTGACTAAGAGAAGGCACCATGCAAACTTGAAGTTGCGCGTCTTGAATTCGGTGCCTCAATCACCTGATGCGCCACTAGGGAAAAATATTGAATATCCCAGGGGGCTACCCAGCTATTACCATTATTGCCCATTCTTTTTTTAATTGGGGGCTCCCCCTGTGCCATGCCTCAAGTAGAAGCTTTGTGCAGTTGCAGCTGCCACTGATTGCTGCCACCTTGCGGCAAGCCCTACGTAAGGGTTCAAGCATGAAATAATTGAGTAGTTTCGAATCGGGGAATAAATTTTGTGGTAAAGACAGTGGGGAAGTATATTAGCATCTTGGGTACTTAGACCTTACGGGAACTCGATCTACTCAGTTTGCCTCAGAGAACGGGTCAGGATTACGTAGCAAGCCCAGACCGAAAGCCATACCCCTATACACCTGAAACACTAAGCCCTAGACTCAACCTCCCAAGATGAAAATGGTTGCTGGCAGATTTGGCGCAGTTGACCCCCTCCGTAGGTCTTGCTGTAGGTATCTGTTCCCGTAAAATAGGAGCCCACATAGTTCATGATGTCATGATGACGAGGCTTCATGAATGTTGCTTACGAGGAAACCCAGGAGCTACAGAAATAGTACACGGGGGGTAATCTGGAGAGCCCTATAGGGATTCTGAAATGTTCAGGGCTGTACGAGGAGGAGCCCTGTTGGCACAGGCTGCAAAATTACCACACCCAGACCCCATTTTGAATGGTTGTTTGTGTGATGGGTCCTCTGAGTACTTGGTGCCCCCTAAACCCTAAACCTTGCTTGTAGGCCCCAAGCCTTGCTGACCCCCCGAGCTCCCGTAGACAGACAGTCTCTGACCCTTCTATAGTATGTAGGGGTCATATTGGTATGATGGAAAATAAAAAGGAAACTACTATACTATATAGGGGTTATATTGGGATAATGGAAAATAACACGGAAACTGCTATACATATAGGCGTTATATTCTCATGGCCCTAATTTGCTCTAATTTACTGCAGACAGAATGGCACCAGATTACCAAAGGGGATGCTAGGCTGCCAAAACTCAGCTCTGTTGCGCCGTGAGCATTCAGTCACTTAGACATGACCACCACTCGGGCCCTGTAGCCTAACCACGTGCTACACCCCACATGAGCTACTGTCTACACTCCTTGTATCCCCCTTAGCCCCTGTAGTGGTCCCTATATAATCCCCTATAAATTCCCCTTTAAGGAGTTTAGACCCTAAACCCCAAAACCCTAACTTATCCCCTATGAACCCGCTTTAAGGAGTTTAGACCATAGCAAAAATGCTGCAGCAAGTCCCGGCTTCCTGGTCGCAGGCTATCCCCTAGTCTGCTATTTGGTACTTTCCCTAAAATAGCGGGACACAAAAATAGACGCCAATATGCTACAGCTCTTTAGGGTTTAGGGTATGGTCTTTATTGTAGAGACCCCCAAAAAGTACCCTTGAATTTGGGAAACCCCCATGTCCCAACTTCACCAGAAGAATACCGTGGTTCAAGTCTGTCGACTCTCGTGGACGGTTTGAGGTGCTTTGACAACAAGTGCAGGGTTAAATGGGGGACCCAACGTAGACGTCATTCAACTTTAGTTGCTATAGTCCTCATTAGAGATACCCCCGAAAAGGGGGGTCCCTATGCAAGGTCGCATCTGGGGCCATGTCGTTTAGCCAAGGCGCCGCCAACGCATGGAAAGCACTTCGTCCATACGGCACCAGCATGTTTGGGTCATGGCATTGACAAAGCAGGTCCTTTTCAGGATGGGGCACAGGGGTTTGGGGTTCAGCGGCTTGCCTGAAGGGTTGCAGGTTGTGGATTTGCCCTTCCGCAGATACCTGCAAAGCAGGATTTGTAGGAGTATCTGCGGATAATTCTAGGCTCTCTTCAGGACCTGGTGGAAACTGAAGCATAAGAGGGCTATGCTATATTGCTTCCTTCCAACCATCCCTTGTGCCTGGCTGACAGAGAATACTTCAACCCCCAAACCAAAACCCTAGGAATTCAGCAAGCAGATTTTCTCTGGTTCGCTGTTGGGGTACTCTAGCCAACAATGGTGTTAAATCTGCTTTCGGTACTATAAGGACCACATCCGACAATCACCAGTTCTGGTTGCAATCGTTTTATGCGAATGGAGGTCGCTCGGGGGATTAAGTACCACGGCTGACCGAGAGCGTCCCCACTTGCTGCTTGACTCGAAGCATGGGACCCTGAAATTGGAAGTTGCGAAGCACTCCCGCTACAGCTGATACTAAAGAAACGCATGACACTAGTACACTAGAATACCCTAACTCTGAAGGGATACGTTACTTAGGCTCATGTAACTGTTTGCAACCTCTAGCGTTTCACCACAGATCCTCAGTCTTTGAGAGACTGCATCTAAATGGGGTAAGATATTGCATGAGATATCAACCTTACCTTCCAGCAAGTCTCATAGAGACAGATTTTGGCCTATTTCCACACAGCTGACGCTGAATTAGCTGACAAACCTGCATCTGCGGGCTGGGTAGCTAGTCGAGAAGCAGTTCACCGACCCTGCCCAAAACAAAGCAGCATAAGTTGCCAGGCTTGTTGAAGCTAGCCATGAAAGATTAGGTCCTCCACAACAGAGAACTTGTCTCGCACGATAGCATTGCGCGCCTGCCGTTCCGATCTTAACAGAAAGGAGAGGTATTGCGCTGTTGACGCTCGATTGAGGTCGGATTGTGAACGTCTGGCGCTTGCTACCACTTTCTTTCTGAGTTCTTACGCCCTGAACTCTGAACGCGAGGCAGCTGCCTCTCTCTTCAGGATTCCTTCGGACCCAAACCCAAGAATTCACAGGTTTGGGTTGAAGGCTATAGGGCCTTGAGAAAGCCTTGCAACATCTTGCTGTGCGATCCCATATTCTCCAACAAAGAGGTTTGCCACGGAAGAGGCCTGTAGAAAGAGGAGCGTCAAGATGAAGAATGTTGAAAACGATCAATGAACGTTTTGGACAGCATCTCCGCTGTGAAAATGCAGCAACACACCCAGTATGCTCGTCCTTCGGATCCTTCCTGTAAGAACCACAGAATAGGGACCAGCAGTGTTGAGAAGAAACCTCTGCCCTGCTTCAGAAATAACACTGAAATCCCCCTAGACCTGTAATAGGACTGACACCTTCACCAATTCCTTAGGAGCACGTATACCCCTAGGCCCCGCACCTGCCTTCTCTTAGGGCCGAAGTCGCCAACAAGAGAGGTCATATATCCCCGATTAAGAATACAGGATACTAGAAGGGTCTTGGCTATGATTAAAATTTACAAAACAATTCCGTAGTATATCGGAGAACAACCCAGCATCCCGTTCG